CTTTCCCTAGTATCAAAGTAGCAAGACTTGCTGGAATGAAAATTCCTATTTTATAGTCAGCCATTTTTAACAGAATCCCTGATTAATGTGATTACCAGCTGCATTGCAGTCGCATTAAAGCAGTGAGTGACATTTGAAATGCACTTAATTCTTACAGCAAGTTCAAATTGCAGCTCAGCACTGGTGTTAAAGGCTAGGGCTGAACAGTCAATTCAAAATTACTCGGAGATGAAGTATGTTTAAAAAAAAAAAAATCTTAAAGGGGGTAAGCCCTTAAAAAGTGACCTTTAGGCAAAATACGAGTCTCTTGCTGTGGTAATAGTTTTATCCATTTCATATATGGCATCCACCAAGTGCTTGTATCCAGTTCTAATCAAAGCTGAAACTAATGACTAGAGTGGCTCAAAATGAAACCTAATGAGCTGCATTTACACATATTCCACATTTGCTTTAACCTATAGAAAGGAAGAAGAATTATAGGTGATAAAGCCATGTCTAATCAGCTTTGGGTAAGCCCAGCTCTGAGGCAGGGGTTGTTTGTAGGCTTTGTCTGAAATAGTGAACTCGCCTTTGCTGAGTGCTATGGGCTTAGCAGTTCCCTCCAGATGGCTTTTGAGTATCCCAGTTTTAGTAAGCATTCTTTCCTTTCATCAAGAAAATAGATGGCTTGTTATTTAGCGGGGTCTGATTAAATGTGCAGCAGAATTATTCACATTGTGGTTGACAAGGTTCAGCAATTTAATGGTGCATGAAAACAGAGACATAAAAAATATCAGCGTATGAAAAATGTATCTTCTGGCTGTGCTGTTTCGTTCTGTCTTGAGTTACAGTGATATTGTTACTAACTTGTTTAATTCCTGCATGGAATGGCTTTAGTAAACATGCTGTTGTATTATGAAAACATTTTTGATCTCTGGCTTTCCAATAAGGAAAACATTTCTAGAAGATTAAACGATTCAGATTTATTTCATTTTAAGAAATTAGTGGAAGATGAGTTATTTCCCCCACTTCCATTTCTGATAGCCCTGTTCTTTTCTAATGCCTTTGCTTTGCTTCTGTCCTTGTCATAGGAACCTGTATATGCTTCTACTTACTCTCCCGTTATACCCGTTCTCCATAAATTTCATCCTTTTCTACCTATTAATCAGGTGAGCAAAAGTCTGCACAATTTAAATGCTCAACGATTTCAAGTAAGCACATTTTGACAGGGTTTTTTTACATAGGAAATTAATAATCCTCTTAACTGATTAACCAGCTTAGTAAATGCTGCTTTAAGGAAACACAGTATTATGCCACTATTCTGTGTGCTATTCTTCAGTATACATTCTGCTAGTGTTTGTCTTATGGTTGCTTTTCTAAAAATTCTGTATCTGTTAGACTATAGGTGAGAAAGTGAATGAAGGAGACATTATTGCATTCACTGTAACACTGAAAACTTGCAAGTTGTTAACAAGGGTATATAAAAGGAGCAATATGTAACTGCAGAGCATTTATTTTCAAATAAAATGCTGTGTACCCTGACTTCTCTGTAAGTAATGCGCATATACAATGTAAGACTTAAAATCATCTAATTTATTGACTGTAAAAAAACAAGCTGCTGTTGTTCAGAGGTGACTTTCCTATAGTGCTTTTCCCTAGTCCCTGTCTAAAGGATTTTTGCCTTGGCACATCCTGCTTCTGTTCTCTGACTGCCCCATCTTCCTGCTTCTCTCTCTCTTTCTTCCTTTAAGGTCTATAGTGCTAGTTTGAAAGAATCAAGCTCTCTGATTTCTGATGAATGTCATCCTTGGAGATGGAAGGTGAAATGCTGTACAAACTTCCTATGTAATTATTGGAGGGAGGAATAAGACAGAAAACCACATCCAGATCTAAGATGCACATTCCCAAAGCAACTTGTCGCAACAGAGTTAATGTGTTTCCTTGGGAACAGAGTTCTGCTGCTGTTCCAGTAACTGTTAGAGAAGCTTCAAGTGAAGTGCTCCTCAAAATGGTGTCCATACCTGTGCAATTCCATCACAAACAATTTGAAGAACTTACTTATGAAGAATTAACAGATAATGAGAAATATAAACTTTCTTCAGCTAGAGCTACATAACAAAGTTGTCTTTGAGCAAAAGTAGAATGCTGGTTCTCGACCTGAGCAAACAGTACCTATTTCACGTGATCAGAGATTAAAAAAAGCAAAGGCAGGAGCAGGCAAATAAAAAAGTTGACAGGAAAAAACAAGGAGAGTCTCAATAGATTTATGCAAATATAATTCTGCTTTATTACACCTCCTTGTCCCTTGCCTCCCAGCTCAGATCTGTGGTTGTAGTACTACAAGGAATCCATTGGGTTCTTTATTCCCACGTGAAATACAGTGTATGTCACATGTGAGGAACATTATGCCCAGGATGTGTAATGGGAGTGAATCCAAGGGGCAGATAGTCACTGCTATAACAGAAGATGATGATTATGGCAGAGGCTACTGGAATTATGATAAAATTTTTGACTACTGATATTTACCGTTTCCACATTTGCTTTCATAGCTGTTTTTGAAGATGCTCTTTTACTTTAATTAAAAATCAAATTTGGGGCTACTAATTGAAATATGTTAGTGTTACCTCTTCTCTGTAAGCTCTGGATGTAATATAGCTTTATTACTATTTACTTCAGATAATCTAGTCATTTTGTTGTGACAGAGTTCACCAGCTCTATGTATCTAAAAGGTAAATATACAGTCTAACTTAATAACATAACGTCCCTCCAGTACTGAGAGGAGGTCCTTCAATGCGCTTTTCATCCCATCTATCTTAAAAGGGGAACACCCAAAAAGTTTTCATCTTTCCATTGACTGTGGTGAGCTACATCCCGCCCTCTTAAAAACCTGCTTCCTTCTAGCATAGTGTCAAGGTGCATACAGATTTGTTTGGGCTTTTTCTGGCAAAATTAATAGTTTTGTTGTTTGCACCAACATGAGTTGAGGGTGGTGAAACACTGGAACAAGTTGCCCAGAGAGATGGTAGATGCCCCATCCTGGAAACATTCAAGGTCAGGTTGGACGGGGCTCTGAGCAACCTGATCTAGTTGAAGATGTCCCTGCTTATTGCAGGGGGGTTGGACTAAATGGCCTTTAAAGGTCCCTTCCAACCCAAACCATTCTATGATTCTGTGTTCTATTTTGCTCAAACCACTTTTGAATAGAAAGTTGTGCATTTGCTTTTGAGTTTTCTCTTTATAACAAGACCCATATAATGTTGCAGAGAAAAACAATGCAGAAACTTTTCTGTACTTACACAGCTGTTGGATTCTTCTTACTTTTTTTTGTCTTAGGAGCCTAAGACCAGAGAAGTTACTTGTATTAAAAAGCAAATAGATGCTTTTTGGATTCTTCTTTTATATAATTTATAACATTGTTTTTAAATTGATCCCCTTCTGAAAAATACTTCTTTTTTTTAATGTTCATTCTTGGTTTGGACTCCCCCAGGTAGGTGCAGTCTTGATGTTCAACATAGAAAACCATTAATTTCCTTATTTATTCCATCAAAAAACCAAAACCAAACCAAACCCCAAACAACAAACCAGCATGCTAACAGACCACTCTCAGTTGTGCCCTTGTGACCTAAAGGAGACACTGCTTGGACTGGAAAATTGTGGCGTCCAAAATGGAGCATTGCCTAGATGTGGGCCCTTCCTTAGCATGAACCGGTGCTGCAAAAGCAGTGGAGTGCTTGTGCATACCCTCAAGAAATGTGTTGCCATGCTAGAAAAGACCAATGTCATCACCCAACCTAGCCAAGTAGTGGGAGAAAAGTAATCCCCGTTTCTCTCTGTTCTTGTATTGAGACCTTCTCAGACTTAAAATGGATCTTTTAGAAAAATATGCAGTCTTTATTCTAAATTGTCAACATACAGAAAACTCACTGCAATATTCAGTAATTTTTCATGTGTAATTATTCTCACTGGGCAAAATTTAACTCTTAACACTCTCTTCAGTAAAAGTAAATACTCATCTGCTTTAATCTGAGGTAGACTTTTTTTCAAATCTTTAAAAAATATTTTAGGCCTTTCCTGAAACCTTTCAAAATTGTCAACATCCTGGATAGAAGAGTAGAGGCTGGAAATGGATGAGCTATTGCGGTACAGATTATCTGTTCAGAACAACTGTTCCATGGGAATTGTTCTCATCTTTTTCTGTCTTCCTACTTGGCTGGGTTTTGCCAATTTTCAATTAACATTTCTTTTCAAAAAAACATTTCTCTTAAAAGCCTCATTTACCAGATTTTTCTGATAACCTTTTTTTTACCCATCTATGTGATTATTTACCTTCATCACTGTTCTGTATGTTGGTGCCATCCTGAGGGTCTTCTCAGCAGAACTGCATCTTTTTTCCATGTACATGAAAACACTTTGATCAAAGTTGGGATGTATCAGATCACTGCATGGCTCCTTTCTGTTTAGAAATAATTTTTCAGTTAGTTAACTAGTTTACAGCCTGTAAGATAACACTGATATTTTTATTTTTATTCTCAAAAAAACTCAGAATGTCATCTGTGATTAAGTCAAATAGATTAAAGAAATCAGAGGTAACTCTGTTAACATATTTAATCATACTTGATCTCATCAAACTTACCATTTTGATTAAACCTGTTTTCCATAATGCCATGTAGAATGGCATTAATTACGTGCCTGTGCTTTGATTCTTTAGTGATTGTCTTACAGCAGTCTTCCCATGAGTGTCTGGAACAACACACAGCTTATGTGACCTGTACCTACATGCTATTTAGTTCTACTTTTCCTAAATATTGTCCCCATCTGAGCTTTTACCATTCCTAAACTTTTGTTTGTTTGTTTAAAGTCACTGCTTGAGTTGCGGCATCTTCTATTCCAGTTATTGTTGGATGCCAATTCTGATTCTTTTTCTGTTTCACTTCATTTTACGAATTTATCATTTGTCTGAAACAAGAGAGATCAATGAACACATGGATGTATTTATCATGACAAATTAGGAGGTTTCTTTGAACGTAACAGCCTTTTTGTTCAACGGAGCTGTTGTCTTCCTAAGCTTTTATTTATTCCTGATACACTAAAATAATTACTCTTTTGGCTTTTTATTGGGGTCTTTGGCTCCCCTTATCAAAATATTACAGCTAGAAATTTGAGATTTATACTTCTTTCATATCTCTTTTTAACTGGGAAATAACATTTGAACTTAAAATCTTGTCAAATTTTACCTTTCTTGCCATATTTTCTCCCAACCAGTATGTGCTTTAACCAACTCATTCCTCCATAAATGCTGTCATTTGGCAATTGTGAAAGCTTTCTAAACTACTCCCAATTACCAGGCATATCTGTTCTGAAATTTCTTTTGACAGTTGTGTTGTCTCATGTTAATTTTCCAGCTATAGAAAATTATTCTTTCTTTTAAGCATCACATATACTTTTGTTTCCTTACCAGGACTGGTACAACAAATTAAATGGGTTAGGGATTGTTTGGTGTCTATTCAGCTTTTTTTGTTGTTGTTAATTTGTGTATTAATAGAGGAAGGTGGGAGTCTTCATGCATTAGGAAGAGATCTAATATGGAATTGCTCTGAGGTTTGTAACATACCCATCCAGTCTGGGGAACTGGCTGACAGACCGTACCCAGAGGGTGGTGGTAAATGGCTCCTTTTCAAACCAGCAACCTGTCACAAGTAAGGTCCCCCAGGGATCAATATTGGGCCCAACAGTGTTTAATATCTTCGTGAGTGATTTGGA